AGAAAGAAAGAAAGAAAGAAAGAAAGAGAAAGAAAGAAAGAAAGAAAGAAAGAAAGAAAGAAAGAAAGAAAGAAAGAAAGAAAGAAAGAAAGAAAGAAAGAAAGAAAGAAAGAACGAGCTCATTGGACAATTAATGACTGAGTTTCCCACATGCAAAAAACTCTCTCGCTTTCTCTCTCACTCACTTCATTGGGAGCATTTCTGCAGCAGTGCACATATTAGCAATTTTTCTGAGCAATCACAACATACCTTTTTTTCTTATTTAAGGAAAATAAAGTTTATTTTAAAAGGCTTTTGACTAAGAGTGCATTTTTTAACAAAGTACATAATCTTCTGAAGGGCTCCCCTCTCCTCTTGCCACTTCATCTCGCTGTCCTCTTGCTCGCGTCCTGGGAACAGGATGACTTCCTTGGGTAGCTTACATAGCGACTGTATACAGAGATCCAGTTATGCTGGACTGTCACATCAATCCAAAATACATTTACATTTTGCAGCCTTTTTCGTTTTGTTTTGCTTTGTTTTTCACAGGCACCTACATTATGCACTTCCAGTTGGCATGGAAAAGTCATCAGCCAATTGCCAAAGAGGCCAAGGCTGAGTGTGCTATGCTCACACACAGCTATTTGGTCAATCCATTTCCATACAGCTCTAGCAGCGGCTTTAGGACTTAATGGCCTTGATTTTTTCCAGTTTGGATAGAAGAGCCAGCAGCCTCTGGCTGACCAAGAGCAGGAAGGTCACCCTGCCTGTGGAGAGAACATGCTGGGGGCATTCGGTGACAGGATCCTGACATCCCTGCTAAGCATTTAATAACAGGTGCCCCCCCCCCACACCCCGAGCAGCTTGGCTCCAGCGGAACGCAATGGGCAAGAGAGCAAAACAAGAAGAAATCCTTTGCATACCGCATTTCAAAACTCTGCCTGTGCTTGGACAAGGCTGAGCGTTTTGCAGGAAGTCAACACAATGGAATGGGGAGAGACGGGTGGACTAGCATAACAAAGGAGGAACACTTATTTACCGTCCTGGCACATAAATTCTGAGTTCTACTACCGATATCTAAATTCTCACTGAGCTCAACCCCTGGTAGCAAGTTTTAGGGTCTCAGTGTAGTTTGGTGAAAAGCTGGGGGACAGGGGAATGTATGAACAGCAGTAATACGTCTATGTGTTTTAAATAATTTTTAATTGCTGAGGCAGTAATACCTGGTTCATGGAACTGCAATATACAGAGAAATGAAATAAATAGCTTTATAATATAATACATATATATTTTATATATGTATATATAAATATATGTATTACATTTATATGCATAAATATAATACATGCATTTATATATATATAATAGAGCTGGTTTTTAAAATACTCCCTTATCATTGGTGTATTAGGTTATTTTACTTAGTCATTTGAAGGTCATTAGCAGCATTCTCCAGAAGTGAGCAGAACAATGCAGGATCACAGACTCGTGACACCTTATGTCGTTGGAAAGGTTACAAAGGATTGAGGTACTGAGCCCTCCAGGGAAGCCCAATGACAGATCAGCAGACCATCACGTCTCGGCCTAGCTTGCAGCAGGCGATGTAAGCGAGGGCTGCAACACCAGAGAATTATCCAAGGATTTTCAGGGGTT